TTGAATGCTCCCAACCACTAGCGAAGAAAATCAAGAGGACCAAAGTTCCTTCCTTGGTAGCCAGCTCATATTCTTCATTGCTGAGACTGATGAGCATGAAGATTTGGACGACACTGCGGCAGGCCCTACCTCACCAACCGACCCCAACAATGCTGGCACTCCTTCATCGACTCAGTGATGATATTCTTCAGGGGCATTAGTCCTCATTTTTCGACCCTTTTGGTCATTTGATGACAAAGGGGGAGAAATTTGAGTTAGTCTTCAAGCGGGTCTACTTACATGGGCGTTTTTTGGCTAAGTTACAACTCTCGTTCTTTTGAACACTTTGCTGGATCGAGTTGTAAACTTAAAACCCGATGGTGGTCTGATACTTTTGTTGTGTTCTTCTGCATGCCTATTCCTCATATATGTTAATGCACGCATGCTGAATTACATCAGTCACCATATTTCATCATGCATTTCAAATTCTTCATACTATATGTTAAATGTGTGTATGAATTACAAGATATAGGGGGAGATCTCCATGATTCTACTCTTCAAATGTGCATTGCTTCAAAAGCAAATTCCTCACTATGCACATCTTCAGGGGGGAGTTCTTCTATATCTTGCAATAAATTCCTCAATATCAGTACTTACACTTCATATGTTTATCCCCGTTGAAAACTTAACCTATATTGTCATCAATCACCAAAAAGGGGAGATTGTAAGTGCATCTAGTGCCCCTTAGTGATTTTGGTGTATTGAGGACTTATAGGTTAAGGGACTGATGCGTTTGTGAGTGTACACAGCTCTATAAGTCTATGAGGAGTTTGATATTTACAGAGAAAGTTGACCCCTAAAAATGAAGTTCTTCGACTGAAGACTTTGGATTTCTGAAGACTTTCTAAAGACTGTGAAAGTGAAGAAATTGGTGTGACCGTGAAGATTTGGTATTCATTCGAGGAACATGAAGCATGAAGAATTTTGTTTTCGTAGTTTCTTTTTTCTCTTTCTTGAGTCATAGGAAACACCATACTGTTAAAGGGGGTCGAGGAAATACAAAGAAAAAGTTTCCAAGTGATGCTCAACTCAAAATCCTACACCTACCAATCCCTTCGAGTGAAGCCATTGAAAATCTCATGCAGTTCAGTCAATTTCTTCAGTGACAGAGACGAAGTTCTTCTAGTCTCTGAGGAATTTGTTCTGACTGAGGAGTTAGGAATTCGCCAGTGCGGATTGCCTACAAGTGAGGAACATGATAGCCCTGAGGAATTTGATAGTAAATTTCCGACCGTTGTTGTGCTACGCGCCAGCTGTCCCAAAATATCTTCCCACCTAACGGTCATATCGTGGAAGGGCATTTATGTCTTATCATGTCGGGCTGCTCCCTAGGCTATAAATAGCCGCCCCCTACAACCACTAGCTGGTTGGCTGCTCCGAGAGAAACTGACACTTGTCATTTGAGAGCATCCCATCCTCTGAGGACTTTGAGCGAAAATCATCAAGTGAGGAAAACCCAAACCCAAACACCTACAAACCCAAAGTGATTGAGCATCACTAAAGAGATTGATCCTGCGTGGATCCGACGCTTGTTACCTTTGAAGATTGTGCATCTTCCAGACGGTTAGGCGTCATGGTCTAGAGCATCCAAGAGGAAATTGTGGATCGCCGAGTGACTGAGTTTGTGAAGGTTTGGAAGTCACCTGAAGACTTACCACGAGTGATTGGGCGAGGTCTGTGTGACCTTAGCTCAAGGGGAATACAGTGAGGACTAAGTGTCCTGAACTGCGCGTTCAGGACTGGGTGTCTAGGACTGTGTGTCCTCAGGTTTGAATACCAAGCCGCCCTAACCAGACATACAACTGTCACAGCAGTTGGAACTGGTCTACCAAATCATTGTCTTCACCGAGCTAACTGGTTCCATTTCCTCAACCTTCCATTTCCTCATTACTGTTTTGTGTGCTTGTTTATATCTGTTTGAAGACTTTGACTGAAGACTTTCTCAATTTCCTCAGTTTAATTTCTTAAGTCTGTTTGTCTTCATTCTGTTTATCCTGTGTTTACGCTTTCTGTACTCTGTGCTTGTATTCATTTCATCATGATGATCATGCTTATGTTCTACTATGTTTGCATCTGAGTACTTATTCCGTTGCAAGTAGTTCTTCTCTTAGGAATTTCCTCACCCTGAAATTCCTCGGTGAAGAATTCATAAAAATCGCCTATTCACCCCTCCCCCTCTAGTCGACTTAACGCACTTTCAAATATCTCTTAGTTTTCAATACGGTCCCCACTGCCACGGGAGGGTAGGATAAAAGATGCCATGCAAGTTTTTTTAATAAAGCACGTATGACTATTTACGGAATACATGCCTATATTATATCGATGAACTGGAGCTAGTACCTAATAGCCCTAGGTTATAACTGTCACATGATGAATATCATCCAACAAGTCACCAATCCAATGCCTACGAACTTTTCCATATTGTTGCTGCTAAGTTACTACTGCTATCATCATTGTTACTCTTGCTACAAAATTACTGCTATCACTGTTACTGTTACTATTGCTGCTGTCACTACTATCAAACCTATCAAACTACTTTGCTACTAATCACTTTGCTGTAGATAATTAATCTCCAGGTGTGGTTGAATTGACAACTCAGCTGCTAATACCTTCAAATATTCTTTGGCTCCCTTTGTGTCGAATCTATAAATTTGGATTGAATACTCTATCCTCGAAAACTGTTGCGATCCACTATACTTGTGGGTTATCACCCTACGGAGATAGCATCATCGTCATCACGCCGTCGTGCTGCCGGAACTCATCCACTACCTCGTCGTCTTGCTGGATCAAGAGGGCGTGGACGTGAGCAAGCTGAACGTGTGTTGAACGCGGAGGTGTCGTACGTTCGGTTGGATCGCGAATTTTTTTAATACATCAACCGCGTTACTAAATGCTTCCGCTTACTGTCTACGAGGGTACGTAGACACACTCTCCCCCTCATTGTTATGCATCTCCATGGATAGATCTTGCGTGTGCGTAGAAAATTTTTGTTTTCTATGCAACGTTTCCCCACACGCCTGAGGGCTTGTGTATCCCTAAAACTACTATATTTTGATGACCGTAGGGGTACTACATCACTCAAACAAATCTAGTAGTATGTCCCCTCAAAAGAGAAATCTAGTAGTGAGTAGTGACCAAGAAATGTTCGGCTTAACCTCAACTTTAGTAAAAGTGGAGTGATGTTGCTAGGTTACCCTGACGACGAGCGTCACAAGATCGTCGACATCCTTAACTATCTCCTTGGCTTCTTCCCCACAACTTACTTGGGGATGTCGATTAGCGACTCAAAGCTTCTAATTAAAGATCTTCGCCCGACAGTGACCAATGCCCAAAATAAGGTGGAACCTTGGCAATGTAAACTCCTTTCCAAGGATGCTAGGACGATATTGATCAACTCATCCTTGTCTAGCATGCTTATGTATTTGATGGGATTCTATAGCCTTCATGAATCCCTTCACCGTCACCGGGAGATTGCAAAGTATCAATCCAAGTTCTTTTGGGCAGGAAAAGGAGGCAAGCAAAAAATACCATATGATCAAATGGTCGGAGATTTGTAAACCAAATGACCGGGAGGGTGGGTCTGTGTATCATCTCCACTAAACGTATGAATATTGCTCTCCTTTCCAAATGGTTGTGGCAGATTTCTAATGGAGAAGGGGGTCTCTAGTTAGATATCATTCACACAGATTATCTACGAGGCCAGCCGCTAACTTTCGCCTAATGCTGGAGGTTCCCAACTATGACAATCGGTAATCTAGCTTACGTCGGTGTTACGAATTGGCTCCTCCATTTCGGTAGGATCTGGTCGAACACCTTCTTCTGGATAGATAGATGGTCTAGGCACCGAGCTTTTGCTTCCCGTTTCCCGAACTTATTCGCCATTTGTACGCTACCCTCATATCAGTATAGGTGGCCCTCTTTGATCTTGGGAACATCTCGTTTGGGAGAAGCTTTGGCCAAAACTAGCAGGGTCAATAGTAGGAGTTTTTGGAATGTGTGGCTCTGCACACTCCTAGCCTTGTCCAGGACTCCATGTCTTGGCACCTTGAATCTAGTGGACACTTCTCCTCTGGATCGTTTTATAGAGCGATCGCCGCTTCTCCCGGCCCGGATGAACTAGCTCTTCTTTGTGAGATTAAGCTTCCGCTCAGAATCGGGATTTTTTGTGGCAGTTAGTGCAGGGTCCTATCCCATCGGGAGTCGAGGTACGTAAGCGTAATGGGCCCGGGAATGGTTGTTGTCCCCTGTGTGATGTAGATGGAGACTCAAATCGCATTTTCTTCACGTGTCCCTCGGCGCAATTCCTTTGGAATTGTTTTAGTGGAGTGTTGGGAGGTAGGTGGTGCCATACTAACTTTCCGGATCTCTTTGTGGAAGTTCAATCTTTTTAGGTAGGGGTTGGGGTGCTCACCTAGACGCTATGGACTATTCGCATTAAACTTGTGATTTAGCATGTGATTTTGCTTCGATCCACTGTTGTTATTTACAAAATGTGTGGTTTCTCATAGCTGTGGAAGCTGCTCAACAGGCGGGCATGATCGTGACATCATTAACGAGCTCTCCTTCGGCGGTGGTTGCCTTATAATATAAAGCGAGGGAAACTTTTTTTGTAAAAAAAGAGAGAGCCAGGGATGCTTTGCGTATAGGTGAAATCAGCATCTAAAAACTAAACAGGATCATAAGAAACCCTCTCAAAACATTAGGAACAAGGATAAGTTTCATCATCATAACTTGCTGACTCAAAGAAAGTGTTCCATGTCTAGTACATCTGATATAAAAAAATGCTTTAAATTGCACTGCAAAATCAGACACTTATAAGACACTAAACTATGGTGCTTACTCCGTTACTCGTGTACGTACATGAATAAAGAACTAAAGAAACAATCATGAAACCATGAATCATCCTACGCCTCCTCCCGAGTTCCAATGGCAGCCGTGGCATGGGATGGCATGTCCGGCGCTTAATGCCCGGCGCCGGGGCTGGGCCCGGAGTCCTTGATCCCGAGGAGCATGCCGACGTCGACCAATAACCTGCGCTCGACGGCCCTCGCCACCGTCTGGATAGCATCGCCTGCCGGCGATTCCACCGTCACCGCACGCGGAGTGCCGCCTTCCTCCCGCACCGCGAGCGGCCTGGCGCCACTCACGGCCGCCGCCGTCGCAAGAACCAGGCACGCCACCACGAGGAGAGCGCCCGCCGGTGCTCCCGCTCTGAGCCTGGCCGCCATTCTTTCTCTCTTTTGACCGGGAAGCAGGTGAAGAAGAAATACGCCGCAGCTGCGCACGTGCGTGTGTCGTCTATGTGCGAGCAGTATGTGTTCTGATGCTTTGTTTGCCGTTGTGTTGTGGCCGGGGTTTGTTATATAGGGATCGAAGTTGATGGGCTAGCTCTTCGGCTTTGACCGTCGGAAACTTGGAATGGTCGGAAGCGTTGGAAAATCAGCAGCGGCAGCGGCAGCGGCAGGCAGCCCGGGCTGGCGTGCGTGCGTGGAGGCCGAAGCGTCGTGGAAGCGACACCGACCCCGGACCCCGGCCGGGCGTAGCACGTACGAGGATGGAGGTGATCTATCATCTAGGTCGCCAGCCGTGCGTGCCAATGGAATTCTAGCGTGGAAGTTACAACCGCGAGAATTTCGTGCGCCCGGGAAGTGGGACTTTGAATACTCGGACGCCGACGTGACACCTGACAAGCAGGGTAGCTAGCGGTGGACCGTTCTCGCCGGCATCAGCTCAGCTCGCTGTGTGTCTAAACTCTGACTAGACTGCTGAAGAAATTACGTGCCTCGGCCTAGATTTCGTGGCTCCACAGTCGATGAAAAGCACTGGCTGGGACGGACAGATGCGGACAGTTCGTGGTACCTGCGTACTCCGCGGGTGCCGAAAGTGACCGAGAAGTCAGCGGCAGGATCGGTCGACGAGGATCCGGGCTAGCTCCGGGGAGAAGCCGCGCCTACACGTGCTGACACGCACCCGGGGCCGGCCGGGACGACGCTGACTGACGTGCGCGCGTCGGCGTGTGTGTGGTTCAGCCGCGACTGGCCGAACATCCTCTCTTCTCTGGTCCGGTTTATACTGCTCAGGGCGCTGCAACATGCATGATTCTGCTTGACATTCCGCGCAAAGTCGTATCCACCTGGTCGACCGGTGTGCCTCTGGCTTGTTAAACACGTTCCTGCACGTGCGAGTCAAATTAAACGACCACGAGGCATGATGATGTACGGGCTGCGGCAACGTATAGCTTTTTTCCTTGTTCCAGTACTGCATATGTCAATGCCACACAAGCGGACGCTTCTCTCTCCTTTTTTCCTCCCTGGAATTTAGTCCCTGTACGTCTTTTCGACAGGTGATGTTGTCCTCGATCACAACGCTCATGGCTGAGTGGTTCATTGAGTGACTTGTTTTAGATGCATGCATGAACCGGGACATCAATGGCCCCCGCAAAAAAAAAAAAGGGTAAGCTTGTTCTGATTTTTGGCTTAGTGGCCCAGCGTAAGCACTTTTCCTACAGCGATGGAGCATAGGAGGCTATCAGCAAAAGGATATGCACCCGCCGTTGAACACGGAGGAACTTCCGCTCAAAACTAAAGATGCACGTGGAGATCAAACTATGTGCGGACGGAAAGAGGTTCCCATTGCATGCATGTCTCCCTCCTCCAAAAGTGAAAAGACGGACCGAATCGGCACTGGAGAAAATTTGTCCGTGCTCATGAGTGCGAGTGAATAGCAAAAAACTACCACATTACGGGCTATCGTTCCGAAAAACTACCACTTTTTTTAATTTTATTGAAAAACTACCACAAAATGGCTGGCTGTTCCAAAAAACCCAAGTGGCCGAACGGTTAAGTTTTAACTGGGGTTATGACATGTGGGGCCTGCCCGTCAGGTTTTTGTCGGCCACAGTGCTCACGACGCGCGGGTGACGGCCGTTAGGGCGCACGGGCCGTCCCGATCAGGTCAAACGGATCCGGCCCGCCCCCTCACTCTGTCTTCCCCCTCTCTGTCTCCCTCTCTCTCGTGCGCGCCTCCCTCCTCGATGGCGGCGGCGGCGGCGAAACTAGGCGATGGCGGCCATTCAACGGGTGGAGGTGGAAGGGGGGATGGAGGCGGCGAGTTCTCAGAGGTTGATAACTGGCTGGGGAGTGGTAGCTTCGCAACCCAGGCGGCGCCGCCGCCGCCGCCGCAGCGGACACCACAGGCTGCAGCTCTGATGCAGGCTCCTACGCCACATGCTACACCGCCGTCGCCTGATGATTGCCAGTTCTCGCTTGAGTACAGAGCAGCGAGGTCTCTTGCTAGCGCTGTGCAGGCAGATCCGGCCAACTCCCAGCACTGGGCCTCTGCATTTGGAGGGGTGGAGTAAGTTTTTTTCCTCTTATGAGCTCCTTCAACAGTTTCTGCATTTCTGCTTGTTCATTTCAAACAATATAGCATAATTTAGTTAGTTTTTTGACCAAACCCTAGGTTGATGCTACTGTGATTCATCTTAGAACATGAACATGCACTGAATAATAGTTGAGCAAACACTCTGTGGCATGTTTTGGATGCAACAGTATCACTTAGCACTGAAGGATTAGTTAGATTTAGTAGAAATGCATGGTGGATTCAGAGAAGCATTTGTTGGATTCAGATTCCTTACTGTATTTTATAGTTAGTGTGCACTGAATTTTTGTAGCAAAAAACACTTAGTTAGTTGGGCTTTTCAAATAACATATTATGTAATGCAGGCTGGATGATGAAATTTGGGAGGTTAGGCTGCATTTCCAGGGCAGAGATAATATGGAAAGGAGGTTTTCTGTTTCAGACATCACATTTCTGAACTTGATAGCACTTACTGAGACTGAAGGCTATGGGTCAGATGACTACATGTACTGGGTAAAAGAACAAGGGATTGGACAGGAAGGTTTATTTCTTCTGGACAGTCAAGATGCAGTTGAAGAAATGATAGACCACTCAGATTTCACAGTGCTCAATATCATTGTTTCCAAGGCAAATGAAGATAGAGATGTTGATTGTAACAGGGCTCACAATGTTTGTGAAGAACAAATTCCAATAGGCAGTCCAGTGGGGGGTCCTGGTTTTGTGTTAAGTCTGTCACAAGATGGAGTGGTCCACCCTCTTGAAGTTAATTTGAACACACAACAAAGCTGTAACTTTAACATTTCATAAGCTAATGGTGGAGATGATGATGGACAGGCTGCTGGTCAAGAGGATGATGATATTGACAAATCATCCTTAGACTTTGAGATTGATAGGGGTGACTATAGAGGGATAAAGATGTCTTACAAGGCTTGGAAGAGAGGTGAAGAAAATATTGGAAATGAAGAAGAAAGAGATGTTGTAGAAGACAAACCACAGTTTGAAGGTGACAGTGATGTTTTAGAGTTTTGGCAGGAGGAGAAAGAGGCTAACAGTGGAGAGGAAATAGTTGTGGAAAAATGCAGGCCTGAGAAACTCAAGCCTGTGAGAATAGCAGCAGCAAATCCAGGTCCAACTTCCAGAGCTCACAGTCAGCCAGAGATCCCAAAGTTTCAAGATTTTGTACCTGAAGCTGATGAGTATTGCTTCCCTGGTGATGTGGGCATTTCTGACTCAGATGGGGAGACTCCAAGACTACCTTCTGGAAGGAAGAGAAGATTGAAGAAGAAGAAAGAGAGGAAATGGTATGACCCAAAGGTACCTGATGCACATGAGCAGCTGTGCAAGGACCTTTGCTTTACCAATGTGTATGAGTTTAGAAAGGCATTGAGAAATTTTCATGTTAGGACTTTGAGAAACTTTCAGTACCATAGGAATGAACCATCAAGGGTTATTGTTTGGTGCCTAGAGAGGAAGAATGGATGTGAATTTTTCATGACTGCATCCAAAGTAGCCCATGAAGATACATTCACAATCAAGAAGTGCCACATGGATCATAGTTGTGGAGCTTGTGGAGAGAGTACAAAGGTTACTGCTGAATGGGTTGCAGAAGCTGTGGAGGACACAGTTAGATCAAATGTAAAGGATGATGTAGAGACAGTTCTCAAACATACTAAGAAGAAGTTTGGGGTGCATGTACCTAGGAGTTTGGCATATAGGGCAAGACTGATGGTTGTTGATGTTGTGCAAGGTGATCATAGAAAGCAGTATCTGAGGTTGAGGGACTACCTACAATGTGTGCTTGACACAAACCCTGGAAGTAGGTGCATAGTGACAACTTTTGAGGATTCTTTGAACCCAGCCCCCACACCAAGGTTCAAGTACATGTTCTATTGCCTTCAGGCATCAAAAGATGGATTTCTTACTGGTTGTAGGCCTTTCATAGGTACAAATCAGTGATTTAATCATGTTAGAAATGTAATCAAGTTATTCAATTTTGCCCTAACTATCTCTGTTTATGCAGGACTTGATGGTTGCTTCATCAAGTTATCCACAGGCCAGCAGATATTGGCAGCAACTGGGAGAGATGGGAACAACAATGTATTCCCAATTGCTTTTGGGGTGGTTGACAAAGAGGATGGGCCTAGCTGGACTTGGTTTTTAAACCAACTTAGAGTCTGCATTGGCACCAACAATCAGTTTGGGAACTACACCATCATGTCTGACAGGCAGAAGGTATTTTCTCTGACTCTGTATTATTCTTATGCACATAGCAATGCTGCTATAGTTATCTCATTACTACCTTATGTAATCAAACAACAGGGCCTTCTTAAAGCAATTAATGAAGTATTTCCTCAATCCCCACAAAGATATTGCCTAAGACACATATATGCCAACTTCCAGTCAGCTGGCTTTAGAGCAGAAGAACTTAAGAAATGGGTTGACAAAGCTAGCTATTCCTTCACTGAACATGGTCACAAAGAAGGAATGGCAGGTTTGAAAGCAGCATGTGAACCAGCCTACATGTGGTTGAATGGCATCCCTAAGGAGTGTTGGGCTAGATATGTAATGGATCATGTGTGCAAGACTGACTTGGTAGTGAATAACCTTAGTGAGGTTTTCAACAAAATGATTCTAGATGTTAGGTCAAAACCAATTAAGACCATGTTTGAAGGGTTGAGGACCAAACTAATGGTTAAGTACCAGGGCATCAGAGAGAAAACAGAGAGCTGTAGGTGGGAAATAACCCCACATTACATGGAGAAGCTTGAGGAGAGCAAGAAGTGGGCTAAATACTGTGAAGCAAACATGGCTGGTCCCAACATCTGGCAAGTAACTAGTGGAGAGAACACATATTGTGTGAACCTTGATGTAGGGAGCTGCTCTTGCAGGAGGTGGGACATGACTGGATCACCTTACCACCATGCAATATCTGCAATGCAGAAGATAAAAGTTCACCCAGAAGATTATGTGCATCCATTCTTTAAGAAGCCAATGTATAAGGCTGCATACCAGCACATCATCTACCCTGTCCCTAGCCCTGAATTCTAGCCCAACACCAACACACCAGACATAGAACCACCAGTTTTTAGGGAGAAGAAAGGCAAGAAGCAGACAACTAGGAGAAAGGGTGAATTTGAGGTGCCAACTCCAAAGGATACATCAAGGATGGGCACAATAACATGCAGTAACTGTGGTCTGCAAGGCCACAGGTGGACAATGTGTGGAGACAGACTTAAGGCCAAGTTTATGATAAGGAAAAACAACCACCAGGTAACTAAGCCAGTTCAACAAGGAAAATCTGCTACTTGTTTTTAATGCATACATCTTGTGAGCTACAACTTGTTTTTAATTGTAGGAAAACAGGGCATCCTACCTAGCAACTTCAACACCAATCAGGCCACCTCCAGCTAGGGCCACATCATCAGGTCTAGCTCCAGCTTCAGGTCCAGCTCCAGCTTCAGGTCCAGCTCCAGCTGCAGGTCCTGCTCCAGCTTTAGGACCACTTAGGGGCAGGAAACCAGCAACAGCTTCAACAAGGGCAACCACATCTGCTACAACAAGGGCAACCACATCTACTGCAGTTTCAACAGGTGGATCAAGAAAGAGAAAGAACCCATCACCTGCTTCAGCACCAGCCAACAACACCAGGTCAAGTGCATCATCTCCAACAAAGAACACTAGGTCAAGTGCAAGAGGTTTCAATGCTCTAAGCGCAGCATCAACATCAAGTCAAGCTGATGTTGGTTCTAAGAGGAAGAGGAAGGCCCCAAGCAAACTTGCTTTGTATTTCACAGCCAGTGGCAACCATTGAATGTGTTGCACTCAACTATGCTTTATGCCTTGAACTCTGCTTGTTAGGCATGCTTGCTATCTGTGTTATTTGCAGTGAACTCCGTTTTCATTTGAACAATTAAGTTATGTGGTCTATGTATGAACTGCTTGGAACAATTAAGTTATATGGTCTGTGTTTGAACTGCTTGGAACAATTAAGTTATCTGATGTCAAGCTCTATTTTGATTTGATATGTCCTAAGTTATGAATTGTTTCATATGAAATTATTTCTTATGCTGAGCATTGTTATGTAGATCAAGTGATTTATTCTGTTGATAATTGATTGATATGATTAGGTCAATTTGGTCACTTTGGGGGGCAACTTGTCGACCAATCCCAACAGTGGCTAGTTGTCGACCAACCCCAAAGTGGCCACATTTGGCCACTTTGGGTGGAACTTGTCGACCAACCCTAAAGCCACCCAAATTTGGCCACTTTGGGTGGCTACTTGTCGACCAACCCCAAAGTGGCTATCTAGGACCAAAACCTAACATATCAAAGCTAAAACATCAAGATTTGCCCATCTAGGCACCAAACCCTAAGAGATCAAATCTAAAACAATAAGATATGGCCATCTGACCAAACCATAACATATCTAACTTAAAACATCAAGATCACCAGATCAATTCATTCATACATACAAATATAGATAAAAGATTCACTCATAAATTGCATCATAGACAGATTGATTCATCACATAGATAGATCATTCAACATTATTCTTTCACCAGCTTCATACATTGCATTACATCATAGACAACTTGATTCATCACATACATAGCTCATTCAAAATTGTTCTTACACAAACTTCAAACATCACATAGATAGAAAGACAGATCTAGGAACACAGAAACATAACAGCAGCATCATGGGTACAGAATCCTAGTCCACCTCTGCCTAGTGACCTGAAAGGGATGCAAATTTGCCCTCCTCCTTGCCCAGTAGATGATATCATCATCACTAGGGTTGGAACCAGGGGGAATGCCTCCAGGAACTGCTCTATGTCCTTGCGGTTGCGTGCTACAAGGATCATCTCAGCAAGTTGCCTTCTCGCCCTCCTCCTTGCATCTCTGCGCCTGGCTTGCCTGGGCACCTCTTCTTCTCCATCTATGACCTCTCCAGGATCCATCTCTCCCTTCGATTCTAGGGTTTCTTTGGCGGCTGGGGGGTTGAGAAGGGTGGGGATGGGGGGATTGACTGCGATTTCACTCAAGGGGTGGGCTTTATAGACTACTAATGGTTGGTGGTAGGTAGGTGGAGTAATAAAACAGCCCAGTCTAGGCCCACAATGTGTACATAATGGTTTTAGGCCCAAAAATATACTAGTTCAGCATTGCTACTTTCAGGAAAACAACCTAAAGAAATAAAACAGTTCTTCACTGCATTACTTAAGATAGATAGGTTCTTAACAGTACAATAACATAAGCCAGACTTAGCAAAGGTTCTCCACCACTCTAGTTACCATAACTTAAACAATTCATATAGGACTGCACAAAATATACTCCTACCATCATCTTGCAAGGCCTGTTATATGTGTAGGCCACCTTACTTACTTAACCACCATTGTCCAAATCTTCAAGCCTCCAGTATGGCCTTGATTTTCTTAAGCTTTTCCTTGCTCCCATGGCCAGCATTCAGTAGATCAGCAACTACTTTCTCAAGCTCTGTCTTCTCTTGTGCAAGAAGATCCCTGTCCACCTTTATCTCTTTCATTGCCTTCCTGGTGTTGTGAATTATGTCTGCCTGGGCCTGAAGGATACACATCTGTTCTTTTGCTAGCCTTAGCTTCTCCATCTTCATCTCCAGCTCTAGATCTTCCTTCTGCTTCTCAAATTTCTCAGCATCCATTGCTTTTTGGTAGTCAATCTTGCCAACACCATCCTGCCAGTCAAACATCTTGCTAACATCATCAACCATTTTATGATACTCAGTGCAGAGCAGATCATAGTCCTTCTTCAACTTGGCAACATCATCCTCATATGCATGCTTGTCTTGAATCCTTCCAAGGTTTTGCTCATGGAACATTTCCCACAACTTGATGAGGTAGTTCTTAAGTACATCAGGCCAGGCAGGATCAACCCACTGAACTACACCACAATTCACACCTCCCTGTAGTTTGATCAGAGAACACATACTTCAAAAAATGCATAAATTCAGTTCTAACTTCAATTCAAAAAGAGGATTGGTACACAAGGAGGACATGTAACCATAAATTCAGTACTAAATTCAGTTCAAACAGAGTTAATGTACAAATTCAGTAACCACTGGGCATAACTGAATCCACTAGGCATAACTGAATCCACCCAGCATACTCAATTACTCACCTGAACAGGGCATCCATAGAACCTCCTCCCAGTGTTAGCACCTTCGAAAGCAACACACTTCCTAGGCTTCATATCGTGCAGAGTACACTTGGCAACTTCCTCCATGGGAGCACCACACCAGAGTGGCTCAGGGATGGTGTCAGGTGTGTCCTACATGCAGTAAAAGGTAGATCAGAACCAATGCATCAACTAGTTCAACTTGAGTCAAGCTTTGCCTTGCTCAAGGTCAGATCAGACATCACAGTGCCATCCATACCCTAGATCAAAACTAATAGATAACCAAACCAAACGAATCCATCCATACCCTAGATCAAAACTAATAGATAACCAAACCAAACGAATCCATCCATACAAATATATAGCTCATCAACCCTCATTCCCAAATCGATTCAACCCTAATCCTAACCCTAGATAATGACAGAGAGGAGGAGGATGAGGCTTACAAAGTACTCCATGTCCATCAGGTTGCCCCCCATGCTGTCGTCGGAGCTCTCATCCCCATCATTCCAAGAAGGCATCCTGGCCGGCGACGAGGAACTGAGGTGGTCGGCGACGATGGAGAGCTCGGCCAGGGGAAACAGAGCGAGGGGGGAGAGTGAGAGTGAGTGAGCGCGAGGGAGACAGAGTGAGGGGGCGGCCGTTTTGACCTGGTCGGGACGGCCCGTGCGCCCTAACGGCCGTCACCCGCGCGCCGTGAGCACTGTGGCCGACAAAACCCTAACGGGCGGGCCCCACATGTCATAACCCCAGTTAAAACTTAACAGTTCAGTCACTTGGGTTTTTTGGAACAGCCAGCCACTTTTGTGGTAGTTTTTTGAAAAAATAAAAAAAGCGGTAGTTTTTCGGAACGATAGCCCGTAATATGGTAGTTTTTTGCTATTCACTTCATGAGTGCAGTAGATTTCTGGTGACGGGGGGCGGTTGGTATCGCTCGACACGCTAGGCGTTAGGTCGCGAGCGTCTCACGGAACCGGACACCGTGCTAGCAACCAAGCGTCGCGATCGACCCAAGCTGAGCGAGAAACTGCCATGCGTCGCCCTAATTTGAGACTGCCTTGAGCTCATTTTGTAGGATGAAAGTTACTTTTCCTTTCATTTCAAGGGCATTTTGGACCTTCAAAACTCCCGCAAGTGTTCGGATTGCGTTGTCTTGACTCAGTTCGTCATTCAACGCAATCCTGCATTCGTATGCTGATCGGTCTGGACGTTCATTTTCCTGCAAAACGAAACTAAATAAAAAAAGGTTTTGCGGGAGTCTGGACATCCATAGAACGAACCAAAAGCCATCATGTATGTTTTCTCTGTCCGGATGGGCCACTGATATTGCGGAAACCACACGTGATGACAGTAATTAGTGTAGCATTTGGCGGAACCTAGTAGTGCTACTTTAGGATTTGACGCAAGCATATAACGGATTTGGCGGAAGCTAGTTTGGCATGATGGCGGAAGCTCTTTTTTTAGAAAAGGAGGATGACCCTCGACCTCTGCATTTGGGAGATGCATACGGCCATTTTATTGATTATTTTCGAGGACCTTACAAAGTAGTACAACAATATGTCTGAATCCGCCATCTTGGCAACATCTGCCACTACTTTTATCCATATGATGAAGGGGGTGCAAGTTGGGCCAAATACCCAGACCTCTTACCTAAGCCTAACATCTAAAGCCGGAGGCCCCGACCGAGCCACATACCGGGTCCGAGGCACAATCCGGTCTGACGCACTCACATGTGTCGTCGCCGCCATCTTCCACTAGTCCATCTTCAGAGCAGATTGAGGTGCCAACCTTGGCAGGATCCTCCGCCATTGACGCCATCAAGACGCCAAACGACGACCACCATCTATGCTAGTCCATCTCCAAGCAGAAGGAGCGCTACCACAGGACGAAGACCGGCGGAGAATAGGTGAAACGCTGCACACAATGCCGCCGCCAAACACCTCACACGCACCGCAAAGCGCCCACCATGCTTCCGGGAACCCCAGGCGATGCCTTCAAGAAGGATCGCGACGAGGGTACGACGCCGTCGCCCGCAAGGGGAACTAGAGCTTTCGCCCAAAGGAAGATCACGGTGAAAGACGGGAGAGGACCTCGACAAGGCCTCCAAGAAGGGGACCGACGCCCAGCAAAGACGCCGCCATTGTCGTGGCCTCCGCCGATGGCCAAGGGTTTTCCCCGGTCCCGCCCCCATCCCATCCACCCAGCCAAAGACCTGGCCAGGGGAGCGCACGCAGCCGGAGAAAGAGTTGGACTTCATCGAAGCAGGCACGCCAGGTGACGGGGCACCCCGACCCACGGTAGTAGACGTCCACCGAGACCTCGCCGCCCGCACGACCGAAGTCGCGGACCACCAGCACCCACGACCGTCGCCCGCCGAAGAGGCAACGCCGTCCACACCGCCCGAGGCCGCCGCCCCGGCATCCACCCACCGCACACATCCCGTCGAAACATGGGGAACGACCCACACCACCGCCACCAGGGAGCACCACACCGCGAACATCCAAGCCGGGCAGGACGAGGCAAGGCCACGCTGGCCAGATCCGGGCGGATCCGGCGAACCCCGGCCTACCAGCCGCCAGATCGGAGCAAGGCGGCCGGATCTGATGGGCAGAGCCGTCCCCGACGATAGGCGCGGGGCGACAATG